GTTTGGGTGCCCGTCAAGTTCGACGACACCTCAGCATAGCACCTGGGATCTATGTGAGACCAAACCACCAGCAATGAAAGGCACACAAAGTTTGTAGAATGCTTTGCGGTGTTACAAAGCATTAACTTAATTGCTCCCATTACACATCTCTTTTAATAGTCAGTCATAAGAGCTACCTGGTTTTGATAGTTTATTGTGTGCCAAGGGCTTTACATGCTTTATGTCATTTAATTTTGAAATGTGCCTACGATGTAAATGGTATACATCCATAACTATAATGGTATAGTTATCATCTGCATCTCACAGAAGAGTTTCAGATACTCTATTACACAGGAGCTAAATGGCACTAATTGGAATGGAAATTGAGCATAATCAAGGTCTTTTGCGGAAGTGTAGGCCTTTTGGCATAATCTGAGCGTTTTTACAGAAACACGCTTCCTGACCTTTCAGTGTGGGACTGTCCAGAACAAGCTGGGAGGCTGTGGGCCTTGTTGCCTTTTTTTCACAGAGAGCTTCCTCTTTGGCAACTTGCCTGGTTCTTTCCAAGATATATGGAGCCCCTACTTTCAGTTTTGAAAAAGTGAATGTTGGTCAAAGTCAGAGGAGTTGTAAAGCCAGCTGTAACATGATTCAAAATGATCACAGGTTCCAGACCAGCCTGAGCAAGAGTGAGACCCTGCCTCTAAAAATAGCCGGGCATTGTGGCAGGCACCTGAAGTCCCAGCTACTTGGGAGGCAGAGGCAAGAGAATTACTTGAGCCCAAGAGTTTGAGGTTGCTAGCAGCTGTGATGCCACCGCACTCTACCAAGGGTGACAAAGTGAGACTCTGTCTCAAAAAAAAAAAAAAATGGTTACCAAGACTGTCTACCAAAGACCTTGAGCACTTTCTAAATACTGGGCAAATACTATTCCCTCTACTCTTTTCATAAAAGCTGTATGAAACAGAGTATTTTGATCATGAGAAAATTATATTTATCTCGATTACAATTTTTTTTTTTGAGACAGAATCTCACTCTGTTGCGCTGGCTTGAGTGCAGAGGCATCTAATAATAGCTTGCTGCAACCTCAAACTTCTGGGCTCAAGAGTTCTTGCCTCAGTCTCTCAAATAGCTGGGACTACAGTGGCACTACCACAATCGCTGACTTTTCTATTTGTTGTAGAGACAGGGTCTCACTCTTGTTCAGACTGGTCTGGAACTCCTGGACTGAATCACCCCTCCCATAGCCATCAAAAGTGCTAGAATTACACGGTATCTGGCATCAAATACAATTTATTTACAAAATGAAGAATAATACTTACCACCATTACTGGTATTTGTTGGTGACATATATCATTTTAAAAGATAACAATCTGACATTTAATAAAAACTTACTTTTATACCAAAATAATACCACATATGTGCCATGCATAGGTGATTTCTGGAAGAGGCACAAGAAACATATAATGGTGATTTCCTCTGTAGGTCTGTTTTCCTCTCTGTCCTGTATGTAGGTTTTGTTTTGTTTTATCGTGGGAATAAATGAATTTTTCAGTTAAGCCTTGGAAGCTTAAGTAACTCTCCAAAAGTCACAGAGCCACTAAGCAGTTGAGCTCAGATTCAAACCCAGCATGTCTGATATTTATCTTCCTTTTAAAAGGGATTACAGTGATCCTGTTTTTTTCCCCTCCAAGAGAGAATTCCTGGCAAGATGAATCTGCTCTGACCTATGTGGCTTTTATTTTTTATTTATTTATTTATTTTAGAGCCTCAAGTTGTCATGGGTAGAGTCATGGGTAGAGTGCCATAGCATCATAGCTCATAGCAACCTCCAACTCTTGGGCTCAAGCATTTCTCCTGCCTCTGCCTCCCAAGTAGCTGGGACTACAGGTGCCGGCCACAACGCCTGACTTTTTTTTTTTTTTTTAGTTGCAGTCGTCATTGTTGTTTGGCAGGCCCGGGCTGGATTCGAACCGCCAGCTCAGATGTATGTGGCTGGTGCCTTAGCCACTTGAGCCACAGGCGCCAAGCCTCCTCTGTGGCTTTTAAAAAATGTTTCTATTATCATAAACTCAAATGCAAAGAGCTCTCTGGTTTATCTTCACTTTTAACTTTATGGAAAAAAACCACACAAAAACTAGGGTTTCTCTGGGATTCTACATCCAGCAGGAGCTGGTGGGGCTGGTGATCTTTCCTTTGATGATAGGGCGTTTAGAAAGATGTACCTGGTCAAGGTTGCCTGTTACTCCTCCTTCCCATCACCTCCTGCACATGAAGGAATAGCAGCCCTTTAATGATTACGTATCCTGAATATATATGTATTTAAAAAATAAATTATAAGCTGGGAGTGGTGGCTCACACCTATAATCCTAGCACTTTGGGAGGCTGAGGCAGGAGGATTTCTTGAGTTCAAGAGTTCAAGACAGCCTTAGTAACATAGTGAGATCCAATTTCCACAAAAAAATAGAAACATTAGCTGGGCCTGCTGGCATACACCTGTAGTCCCAGCTACTCAGGAGTGTGAGGCAGGAGGATCACTTGAGCTAAGCAATTTGAGGTTGTAGTAAGCTATGATCATGCCATCCCTCATGCCAAGGCAACAAAATGAGATCTTATCTCCAAAAAGGACAACCAAAACCGTAAATTATATACATATACTAGTGTCAAACTATTCAGTAGCAGTAGCACTTCATTTTGGATTAAGAATATAGAAATAGAATTAATAACATTTTCTTTATTCTTCTCCTTAGGTGATCTAGTCATGCATATCATTTTTGAAATCCTGTTCTGTAGCATTAGGGAATGTATGACTAACCTGGCTATTAAAAGTTACAGCAGTCACCTATGGTTGCTAATTAAAAATGAAAATCCCGCCAATACATTACTCCATTTGGTCATAATGGAGTATGTTCTCTCCCATTTGCCATAGTTCTCACCTCTCCCTATTACATTTTATCCAGCCTAATTCATACAATTAAGGTATTTGCCAGCTTCTATGGGCATTTAGGTTTTGTTTCTTTGTTTTCTAGAAATCAGGTACAAATCAGATACAGGCTGGGTATATAACCTCTAGGCTTAATTAAAAGGTTGTGTTGTTTAAAAAAAAGAAAAGAAAGAAAAAAAAGTTTGTGTTGTTTGATAAGAAGATAACCTGCTTAGGAACCTGAATAAAGAGATAATAACATCTGCCACTTATAGAATAACTGCTATGTGCTGGGCACTTTACTAGACATTTACTATGTATTAGGAAGTCAGATGGGTGTAGATTTAGGCAGGAGCAGGAACCAAAAAAGGGAACAAACATAAGAAACAAAGATTGAAGGGACTGAAATAATAACACAAACAATTTGATGTGGCTTCGATGGAGGGTATATGAAGTGAGAAGTGAAATTTGAAAAGTAGATTGGGGCCAAATCATGTAGACTCTTGAATGATGTGTTAAGGAATTCTGTAGGTTCTATTCTCTACAGAGAAGCCACCAAAGGTTCTTGAGAGCCTCCAGAGAAAGGTTCTTAAAAATTCAGCACAAGATATTGCTAGAAATCTGCTAGAAAAAAAATCTAAAAAGGCATGTGTAGGAGAATTAGGTGGGAAAGATACTAAGTCACGGTTTGTTCCTCAAAATAGAGCCTTTTTGGAAAGTGTAATCTGTTTGGCCAGAGTGGAGATGGAATTGGGAGAAATAGATGATCAAATTTAAATTCTTGATGCCTGATATAGCTTGAGACCAGGTCAGCCCCAAGTGGAATACTCTGACAATATTCATATATCGTTCTCTGTTGTTCCCCAGGTGCTCCGAGGGTTCAGGTTTACTCTCGGCACCCACCAGAGAATGGAAAGATAAATTTCCTGAATTGCTATGTGTCTGGATTTCATCCATCTGACATTGATATTACCATGTTAAAGAATGGAAAGAAGATAGAAAAGGTGGAGCAGTCAGACTTGTCTTTCCACAAGGACTGGTCTTTCTATGTGCTGACCCAGACCGAATTCATCCCCAATGACAAGGACGTACTCTCCTGCCGAGTGAATCATACCGCTCTCAAGGAACCGCTTTTTGTTAAGTGGGGTAAGTTTTAAGTTCTTTCCTTAGCTGTTGAAAATTATATCTGAACAGAGCCATAGCATAAATAAAGGTGCTTTGATATAAAAAGTGCATACTGGGATTGTCAGGGAATGTTCTTAAAGCTCTGATTAGTGGTAGAGATCTCTGCACAGGACAGTCCCTGAAGCAGTAGTTTCCCTGCATTGAGAACAGGGAGTAGCAGCACTTCATGAATGCATATACACTCCCAATACTCCTACCACCTGGGTTCCTCTGATTTTCCTGGTAACCCCACCAATACTTAGCACCAACTAGCATCTCAGGAAGGCATAGGTCTTTGTAAGCCCTGCTACCATTGCACCCTACAATGTGGACTCCTCCAGTGCTTTCTAGCTGGGGTGGGATCTGAAATTAGTAGGCTGGGTTGGGTCCTACTGGGTAGTTCTGTACAAGGTATTCTCAGAAACAGCAGCCTAGGCTCAGTGCCTGTAGTTTAGCAGTTAGGGCACCAGCTACATAGAGCTGGAGCTGTCGGGTCTACTAAATAACAATGTCAACTACAACCAAAAAATAGCTGCGCGTTGTGGCGGGTGCCTTTAGTCCCAGCTACATGGGAGGCTGAGGCAAGAGAATTGTTTAAGCCCAAGAGTTTCAGGTTGCTGTGATATGTGACTCCACTGCATTCTACCTAGGGAGACATAGTGAGACTCCGTCTCACAAAACAAACAAATAAACAAAAGCAGACTATTCTGTCAGCCTTATTTCTAACAGTTTTAGACATTAAACATTTTAGACATTTAGACATTACACAGTATTCTAAATGTAAAACTTAATGTTTTTTTTTTTTTCCATGTCTTTTTCACAGATCGAGACCTCTAATCAGCATCATGGAGGTGAGTTTTTGACCGTAAGGAAATGCTTTTTGTTTCATTATCCTGGGAATATAGACGGCTCTAACATGGCAACTCTTGCTGTATGAAGGACATTAATCAGGGTAGCATTTCAGCAGGCAAAGAATAATCCTGTAGGGTCCCTTTCCCTTCTGTGGAGTGGCATGAAGAAGGTGTGTGTCTCAGATATGGCTGTGCCACATCATTGACCCTTCCAGGGAGGGTAGAGGACTTGCCATTGGGGGGGAGGGGGGATGGAGGCAGCTGGTTACCCACACCACCTGCAAGGCTTTCATCTTTCTTCTGCCATTTTCACATTGGGTATCTCTGCTGAAAAGATGGCCTTCAAAAGTGAACCACTCTCTTCCTTTGCATAGCAATTGCTTTATTCTTTAGCCAGAAGAGACAGTTCTGCAGATGTCCCATTCCTTCAACCTCTTGTTCAGCTTTAGTGTGTAGGCACTGGGTTTGCCTTTTAGAGGCTCCCAGTCTACTGAGGGGAGAAATGGAAGCAGACTGTTATAACTTACTGTAAAGATACTACAATAGATGTATCTACAAGGAGCTCCAGAAGCTTAAAATGGCCACACCTGTAATCCCAACACTGTGAGGATAAGATAGGAGGATGGCTTGAGCCCAGGAGTATAAGACCAGCCAGGGCATCATAACAAGATCCCATCTCTAAAAAATATTAG